TGAGGAGTGGGAGGGGGAACATGCCAGCGCGGACTTTCCTGACATGAGTGTGTCTGGGTGTTGAGCAGCCACAGTGACCCCTCCAGCATGGCTTTGTGACCACAAGGTCAGGGGCTTTCTGGTTCTGGTCAGGGGCTTTCGAGTGGACAAGAGTAGGTATGTGAGTGGGGGGGGGGAGTGCTGACTGAGTACTTGCCTGCCTGAAACCTCCCAGAGCTCCCTGTTGTCATCAGGTCCCCATCATCAGGGACCCAGCTGTCAGCCAGGTAGCCCCAGCCACGCATGATCCATGCCAGCCTATTTTTTCAGTCTCACCTCTCTTTACACCCGCATCATCAGGTCTCCCACGCCACAGACACTGTGCCCAGACCAGGTCTCTGCTGATCCTGCTGGGACGCCCCCACTCCAGTCTCCTGGCAAGGAACTTGTGCAGAGTTCCAGCCATCCGCGGCCAGATGGAGGTGCCAAGATTTGGACACAATATCCATTTTTACACTGATGCTCCTCTGTCTGATCTATTTCCCTTTTTGGACCATCATACCCTGAATTCACCAGACCACGAATTTGGATGGGATCTTTTTCATCTTTTTTTTTTTTTTATCCTCACCCGAGGACATTTTTCCATTTTTTGTTCAGTTAGAGCGGGAGGGAGAGAGAGGAAGAGAGAGAGAGAGAAACATCGACCTGAAAGGGACACTTTGAGTGGCTGCCACCCGCACAACTAAACAGGGCCGGGGACAAACTGCAACCGAGGTACGTGCCCTTTGTGGAAACTGAACCCGGGTCTCTCGGGACCACAGACCGATGCTCTAACCACTGAGCAAAACCGGCCAGGGGGATAAATATTAATATTAAACCATTTATTACTAGTTCTGGGGCTGGGTTCTGGGATCATCAAGATGAAAAAGATCCTGCCCTGGCCAGTTTGGCTCAGCAGTTAGAGCATCGGCCCGTGGTCCCAAGAGACCCGGGTTCGGTTCCCGCTAAGGGCATGTACCTCAGTTGCAGTTTGTCCCCGGCCCTGGTTGGTTGTTCCGGTGGCAGCCACTTGATGTGTCCCTTTCACGTCGATGTTTCTCTCTCTCTCCCTCCCTCCCTCTCTACCTGAAGAAAAAATGGGAAAATGTCCTCGGGTGAGGATAAAAAAATATTAATATTTATCAATCAATAAATGTTTAGTTTATGAATGAATAGGCAAAAGAATGGTGAGGAGATGGAGGGATAGATGGATGAATGAGTGATAAAGATGGGTGGTGGAGAGATGGAAGTGAGAATGGTTAACTGATGTTTATGTGTATGGATAGCATAAGAATAAAATACAAGGGTAATAGAAGAATGCATGCAGGTTGATTGGCAGGTGAGATACTAGATGGATGAATGATTGGTGGGGGTGAATGACTAGAAAGGGAGGTGAATTAATGGATGAATGATGCAATGGTAGAAGGTGTATGTGGGGTGGATAGCGTATAGTGATTGGATAGGTACTCTGAAGCATGATAGATGGAGGTGCTAGATTGTGGGTGAATGGAAGTTGGGGATGGTGAATGCATCTATGTAATGGTAGTTGGTTAAGTGATAGAGAGTAGATTGTAGATTGATTGATAGAGGGTAGATGGATGTGGACACCAAATTGATGAATTGATGGATACTGAAAGAATCTATAGTGGATTAATTGCAAGTAATAGTAGGCGGATGGCGGATGGTGGATGGCGGATGCTTGGTGGGTGGCTGGATCATAGAAGTGTGGATGGATGGTGGACAAATAGTAAGGGGATGATTGTGATGGATCTATCCATAGAGAATGGATAGATAGGTGGTAGATAAATGTAATTGTATATACAACTGACAGGTAGATCATGAATGGTGAACAAGGAAATGGTGGCTGGATGGGGCACGGGGGAATAGATGGCAAATAAATGAATGTTTTCTAGGTGGGTAGATAACGGATTGTGTACTGTGAAAGTGTAGATGAAAGGTGAATGGTGAGTAGATAATAGGTGGATTCTGGATGAATAGATAATTACTAGGTGATTAACAGATGATGGTTAAATGATACATGGCTGTATCTTGGAAAGGGATACATAAAAGGTGAATGGCGCATGTGTAGAAGGTGGAGATATGGATGGATGGTAAGTGGTGAGTGGTAGATGGTAAATGGATGGTTTAGTGATAAATGGAGGAAGGCAGATGGTGAATGGATGGTGAATGAAGATGGATATTGAATGAAGAGTGAATAATGGATGGGGGATAATACACAGATAATGAATAGATGGATGGTGAGTGGATTGTTATGGCGGATGGATTCTGGTGAATGAATGCTCACTGCTATCTCTGTACTCTATCCGGAGGACCTAGAATAATGCTTGACACATAGGAAGCACTCAATATATCTTCTAGAATGGATGAATATGGATGGACGGTAGATGATACTCGAATGGGTTTTGGATGAATAGTGAATTATAGCTGAACAATGGATGGATAGATAAATGTACTGTGAAATGGACAATGGGTGGTAGATGGTTGGTGGAGAGGTGGCAGGTGGATTGTAGTTCATAAAGATATGAATGGATGAGGGATTATGAATGACGTGGTGAGTGAAAGTGGATAGATGAATTGTGGCTGATCAGGTAGATAGAGGTTAGCGGATGGGTGGTGGATAATTCCGGATAAATGAACAATAAATAGATGGTAGATTGACCAGATATATGGTGGGTGGATAAATGAATGGCAGATGACAGTAGTCGGATAACTGGATATTGCATGATGGAGTGTGGATGTTGGATGGACGTTGGATGTTAGATGTTGCATGTTGGAAGAGTGGGGGATTTTATGCAGGTTAGAGGTTGTGAACTTTGGCCTCAGGTGTCAGGTCTGTACATCCAGCTGTAGGAGACTCGTTGTCCCAGGGCTGTTTTGCCCCTTTCTGAGAATGGGCTGGGCATGAAAATAAGAGAGGAGTGGTTGGATAACCCTCCCCCGATCCACATCCATCTTGGCCCTCCCACTTCATTGTCCATTTTTCCTTTCCCTTTTCACTCCTTTTATTTGGAGGGTGTCCTCCTTCTAGCTATCTGGCCCCACCCAATTCTGTCCCCCCAATTCCTGAACCTCAAACTTGAGGGTTGGGATCTCAAGTGACTGGGGACCAGGTTCTAGGTGACACAGTCTTGTGAAAGGGAGGCTGGCACTGGAGTCTCACCTGCGAGCGGAGCCGGGAGGACGGGAACACGGAGGGGTGTGAATGAGGGGCCGGGCCAGGCAGCGCGTGTGGGCGGAGAGCTCCGAGGGAGCAAGGAGCCAGTGAGGGCGAGCAGCGCGCAGAGCGGAGCGCAGGGGCCGGGAGCATCCAGCGTGCGGTGAGTGTGAGTGAGGCGCAGGGCTCCCCCTCCCCACCCACGCCCGGCCCACCGCTCCCACCGCTCCGCGCGCCCTGGCGGCCAGGCGCAGCGTGAGTGGGAGAGGAAGAAGGGGTGGGTTGTAGGGGGGTTGAGTCGGAGCTCCTGGGAAAGAGGAGGGCGTGGGGACCACGGTGAGCCCTTGGCTGCTGGATGCCAGGCTCTGGGCGAGAGCAGTGACCCCGGGGGCTGTGCACCCCCATAACTGGCCTTACATACCTAGGAGCCAGCAGAAGTGTGGTGGCAGGAGCCTCTGATGGGCTGGTGCCCCTGCTGGCACGGACCCTGGCACCCTTAGGCACTTGCTCCCCGCTGCCTGCCCCAGTGGCCTGGCTCCATCACCTGCGTCTGCCATCATCCTCTCCTCCATCTCTACTCCCTCTCTGAGTCTCTGTCTTCTCTCTGTTCTTTCTCCAGCTGTACCATCTCTGCTTTGTCTGTGACCAGCGGTTTTCTGCTTCTCCTCTGTCTCCTTCTCACATCTGGCTGGGTCTCCGTCTGGGCTGCCCTGGGCTCTAGCTGAGATTTTGAGATGAGCTCCCAGGAGGGACTCATTTCGAAGGACAGACCTGGGAGTAGTGGGCAGGGGGTGAGGATGCTCTGGGGTGGAAAAGGCACAGTGGGTATGGCTTGGTTGCCCACTGCCCAGGATGCCCAGTGCTGCCTGTGCCCCCCATCAGCCTCCTCTGGGTCTCAGTGGGCACTGAGCTGACCTGAACTGGGTGTTTGGTGAAAGAAACCTCATTTCCCACAATAGCAGCCCCCATCTTTGGCTGGGTGCCTTCAGGACCCCCTCCCCACAACCACAGGGCCTCACAGACATTTCACCCTGCCTGTGGCCCCCCTGCCTTCCTGGAGGTGCCAAAGGGAGGTGTCTGCCTGCCAGACCCACCCCCATTTCTGCCTCTGGCTTAGTGCAGCAGGAGAGTCTGAGGCTGGTGCCTCTCTTCTCAGAGTCCTTGCTGTGCAGCCTCTGGCCGGGCTCCCATGCCCTCGCGCCTGGCCCTAGTGGGCATGGTCAAGCGCAGGCAGGATGTCAGTTTCCATTCAGCTGTGGGTTGAGGGCCGGGCTCTGGGTGTGTGGGGAGCGTCTGTTCTCAGGAGGGGCACAGGGAACTTTTGCCTCCGGCTGACTTGAACCTGACCCCTGCTGCTCCCAGCGTCCAGTCTCAAAAACCATTTAGGTCCCTCCACTTGGTGTCCCCCCTCCCCGTCTCCTGATTCAGAACATCTCTCCTCCCTGCTGGCCCGGCCGCCTCTTGTCCATCCCCCAGGCCTCAGGTCAGCTGACCCTCTTCCAGGAAGCCTTCCCGGGTCTTAAGGCTGGGTCGGCCTCCCCTCTCCTGCCCCTGCCCTCTGCTGCCCTGGGCACATTGAGTGGTGCCTGTCCCGTGCCCCTCCATGGTAGGCTGGGGCAGGGATTAACAGCGACAGAGGTCCAGCTGGGCCATGGCGTTGGGCCAGGCTGGGGTGGGGTGGATATGGCCGATGCAGCACGAGACTTCTGGGAGGAAGTGGGATCCAGCGTCTGGCCCACAGCAGACCTCTCTCTGTCTTCATGTCTGTCGGCTCGCTGTCTTCATGTAGCCCCACAGTGGAAGCAGCATGAGTGGATCCCTGCCCGCCATGCCGAGGCCAAGCCCAGCCGAAGAGACTGGAGGCCAAGCAGGAAAGGTATGTCGTAGGGGCCCTGGGGTGCCAGGCCTCAGCCTTGAGGGACTGGAGGGAGCCAGACTCAAGTCCCAGCCTGACTTGGGGCATAGCCTCAGTTTACCCATCCGCATTGGGGAGGCAGTGGCTCTTCTATAGAAGTCTGGTAGAGAAGCGGCTGAAGGTTGGGCTGCCCCGGCTTACTTAGCACCCGTTCCGGACCTCGGGGACCCCAGGGCTTGCTATTTGGGGCAATTTTCTCTCTGCTGGGTGAGGCAGTGCCAGAGTCCTCAGCTCCAGTTTTTTTGGGGGGAAGGTGTTAATGCAGCTAAAAAGTGAGCTCCCTACACAAGGAGCACAGTCTTAATGTTCTGAGTTCTCATTCCTGGCATTGTTGGGGTGGGGGGAGCAGGGCCGAGTGGCACGGAAGCCAGTCTGCAGCCTGGGGTGGCTCCCTCCCTGGCAGGGCAGACAGAGAGGGGTCCCCAGGCCTTGGAACTCCAAGCTCTGCTGGTCTGGATCTCCCTCACACTCTGGGCAGAGTGACCCCCTAGTCACCTCCTCCTTCCCAGAGAGGCAGGAAGGAGAATGCAGGTGTGGAAGGGTTCCCGGAAGGGAAGTAGCCCTGGACTGGCAGGATGGTCCAGTCGCTGGGGCATGGCTGCGGTCCCTGCTCCGCTGGGCCTCTGATTCCACAGATGCCCCAGCCCAGTGACACCTGTTCTTGCACTTCAGGGCCCCTGGGGTGCTTGGTTAAAATGCCCGTTCCTGGGCTCCCACCCGGAGAGTCTGGGCGGGAGCCCAGGAATGTGTATTTAGGTGCACGTTCAGGTGGTTCTGCTGCAGAGGTTCAAGGGCTTTTCGCAAAGTCCTGCCTGGTGTGTGCCTGCCCTTCCTCGAGGTACTCGTGCCATTGGGGTAGGTGGGCAGGGCACCAACCAACTACCCTGTTAGGTAAAAGAAGGGAGGGCGGAAGCCCCAGGGGGGACCAGCAAAGCCTGGAGGTGGGGAGCCCCATGGAGGTGGGGCAGGCGAGTCTGGGCTGCTGGGGCGAAGGGCCAGGTGGGGAGGGCACTGGCGGCTGGAGCCTCTACCTTGGAAGGCCTTGAATGGGAGGCGGGATGCTGAGGGCACCAGGAGGGCTTGGGAAGCGCCCACACACACTCTTGTGGGCACTGAACAATGAACCCAGAGTGAGTCGCTCAGGTTGCCATGGCAACAGCTTTCCAGCTCCTCTGAGCAGGGAGGAGGCCAAGGACCCCGCAGGGAAGACCCCAGAAGGGGCTGTGCAGGATGCTGATGGCAGGCAGGGGTGCACTCTCACTGTGAGACCTTGGCCTCTGCGGCCCCAGGCTCCTATCTGTGAAATGGGCCCAAGGGCTAAGCCCATGTGGGTCCCATGGTGCCAAGTGCCCCAGCCCCAGGGATGGGATGGAGGAGGGGCGGGACCTTCTCAAAGATGTGTGTGTGAGGACCCCAGGACCAGAGTGGGAGGGAGTGGGGAGCCAGGGGCCCGGCATTGCCATGACCCCTGCCCACCCTCCCCTCAGGCTGCAGTGGGTGCCCGGGAGAAGGGCCCTCGGCTGGGCCAGCGGCTGCCCTCTATCGTGGTGGAGCCCAGCGAGGTGGGTTCTGTGGAGAGTGGGGAGCTGCGCTGGCCCCCAGAGGGCATCCGGAGGGGTTCCCCCCAGAGCCAGGCTGCTGCTGGTGAGTGAGGGCTGCCTGTGGGGACCCCCAAAAGAGAGGAGTCGGAAACAGGGTCTCCTTCCTGCCCGCCCCTGCAAGCAGGCCCTCCAGCCTGCTCACCCCTGTCACACGCCCTGCCAGCCTCTGCTTGGTGCTAGGACTGCCTGGCCTTGACACGCTTCCTGTCCCCGTCCCCTCCCACCTGCACACGAGCCCCTTCACTCACGGCGGGCCGGTCTGGCACAGGGCGCGTTCGAAGTAAGCATCTGTGGAAGGAGTGACTGCACGTTTTCACCCCTCACCATCCAGTCCCGCCTCCGCCCTCCTCTTCCTCTCTCGTGTGTGCGTTGTCCTCTAGGGCCCGGAAGGGGTGAGGGTATGGGTGCTGAGCAGGTCCAGCCCAGGTGCCCACAGGTGTGGAGATGGGCCAGTCCTGCCCACAGGTGCCCTGGTTAAAGGCCGAGGGGCTGCCGAGGCCGGGGGAGCTTCCCGGAGGAGGACGTGTGGGTAGGAGAGGGGTCAGCCAGGAGCCAGGGCGGGGGCGCAGGAGAGAGAGTGAGTTCGGCAGTGGTGCCCCTGTGGAGGGTACCTGAGGGGGAATCTGTCCCCTGGGGAGGAAATGAATTTGGCCTCAGCCGGCGTTGCTTAGCAACCGCCTGCCCTCTCCCCCTGTTCAGATGTCACCCCCTCCATAACAACCCTTACTGGTCAGCCATACCCTGAAGCTGGGGCCCAGAAGGGGCCTGTCCATGCCTTAACCCACCCAACCCCAAAGCCCTGTCACCCTCTGCCAGGTTCCACACAGAGCAACTCCAGGACAACCCCTTGGGTGGGTGGGATGTGGGTTCTGGGGCATCCCCAATCTGCCACCCCTTATTCTGGTGGATGTGTCAGGGTAGGAGTGCTTCTGCTCCCAGAGCTTGGCCTTATCCTTCCTCCCTGACCCAGAGGTTCGCGTCCAGCACCCCTCCTCCACCTGTGGGGTACCTGCGGCCAGCCCCACCCAGGCTGCAGCCCCGCCCACACGGCGGCCTCCGTGTTTCTGCAGCCCCCTCGCCAGAAGCTCCAGGGGAGGCTCCGGACGACACTGGCAGCAAGGGTGCCAGCTCCGAGGACCAGGCCCCTGTGGCCCAGTAGTAGGACAAGGACCTGGCCAGAGTCTGCTGTCCCTGCCAACCCTGCACTGTTCTCTGACAGCTGAGAGGGCCCATGCCCAGGGTGGCTGGGCTGGTGCGCAGCGGACAGAGCCGGCCACCCCTCCGGCCTCACAGAGGCTGGCCAGGCCCACGGCCCCTGCCCTCTCCCATCCACGGTCGGGGGTGGGGCCACACCCCTCCCTGTCCCATGGTTTGAAGCAGAAATAAAGGTTTTTCCTGATAGTGGGCACACTCGGTGGGGACTGGAGGGGCTAAGGACAATTTCGGTTCTGCGAGTGGCCTTTCAGGCCAGGGTTTCGGCAGAGCCCAGGCTGACCAGGCCAGGTGCTAAGTGAGAGACCACTGGGTGTTCTGTGTGGGGTGGAGCTCTCCGGGGGCTGTGGCGGTGCTCTGGCCCCCTGCCGAGGGCCCTCCGCTCTGCCTCCGCCAGGGCTGCCCCAGGCAGGACCAGCTCTTCCAGGTGGCCTTCTCTCTCCCCTCCTGGGGCCTGCAGCCCTGGCTGGACCCTGAGGGCAGGAGGCTTTGCTGTCTTCCCTCTGTACCCTGGGTACAGAGGGCAGAGGAATGGTGAAGGGGGTGGGGTGCTCTATTCCAGACTGGATCTCTTTAAATTCTCCAGAAGTCCCACTTTACAGGTGAGGGAACTGCTGTGTGAAGGGAGCTCCCCAAGGCTATGGTGGGATCCCTGAGGCTGGGAAGCCCTCAAGCTGGAACCAGAACTCACATGGGAGATTGGGTGGCACCTCTTCCTGAGCCACGTAAGGGTCCTGTCTGTCCATGGGGTCCAGCAACATTGTCTCTTGGCTCTGTCTCATTGCACCAGGACAGGGGAGCCCTGTTGGCCGGTCAGGTTGGCATGGGGGACAGAAACCTGGTCACTGCCCGGGCCCACTCCCCAGATGTGCTATCCTCCCACCCTGGCCCCTGCCCGCGGCCAACCTGACCGTGGGGCCTGAGGAAGCTCAGGGCCTAGCAGGGGGCAGCATGGTATAAATACTAGCTCACCAAGTACACAGGCCCAGGCAGGGTGGGCCAAGGCCTGGTGAGCACAAAGGGGAGGCAGGAGACACAAGCCTTGCTAACCTCCAGGCTGAGAACCGCACCTTCTCCAACCCTCCTTCCTTCTAAAAGTAGCTCAACCCCGCCCCCCAGTGCAGGAGAGGTGGGTGGCGGAAGTGCCCAGTACGCGGGTTTGCCTGGCAGCCTGGGCGTGTGCCTTCATTTTAGCCTCGTGACCCATGGACCCCAGACACAGGCCAAGGACGTCTCAGTGGGCCTGCCCTGGTCTGCAGCTTGGGAGAGGTGTTGGGCTGTCTTTCAAGGCCCTTCCTGTCCTCCTTCAGCTCCTCCTGTCTGGTCCCCAAGGGGGTGGGAAAGGGGTAGACAGTTGACAGGAAGAGTTGCCAGGACTTGCTGACACACGGAGCATCGGGCAAGGGTCTTGCCCGCGCGGGGTGGTTTCAGGTTCCTGATATAGAGCACCAGGTGGGCAAGGGTGCCGTGTGCAGAGATGCCACCCTCCTCCCTCCCAGGCAGTGTCACACCCATTTAAATACGTCTTTCCCAAGGTCCCACAGCTGACAAACAGCTGAGCTCAGAAACCTAGGTGCACCTGAGACCCAAGCGTGGCGGTGCCTGCAAAGCCACTCTGGACCTCGCCATTTAACAGGGCAGGTCTTGGGTGGAGGAGACACGTAATCAGAGGTGCCAGGACCGAGATGCCCGGTGAGCTGGGAGAAGAGGAGTCAGACCCAGGGAGACGGCCCATTTGGGGTGGGGCAGAGCATCACGACCCTGTCACCCGCTCCCCGGAACAGCTCAGGATCCCGCAGCCACCGGACCTGGCGGCTCTAATCCCAGCAGGTCCGCAACCCACCCTCCTCCACTATCCGAAACAAGCACTGAAAGGGAACAGTCGGGGGCGGTGCCAGACAGAAGCCCCGCCCATGGTTAAGCCACGCCCCTTCCCCATCACCGCCCTATGGGCCACTCAATCTCTGCAATACTCACCTTGAAGAGACTGAGGCTCAGACAGAGGCACTGTCTCCCGCTTGGGCCCATAGCCAGGTAGGGGCAGAGGATGGAGCCCAGGACTCCTGCTCGCACACGCTTCGCTGCCCTGCAGCCGCCTCCATGTTTGGGGTGAGAGAGCCTGGCTCCCCAGGAACTCTGAGGACAAGCAAGCATCTGGTGATGAGGGTCCTTGTCCTGCCCTTCCCGACCTGGGAGGCAGGTGCTCCGCTGAGGTGAATCCATCTGATCCCAACAGCCGCCCTGTTTTATGGCGGAGTAATTTGGGCTCAGTCAGAAGTGCCCCTCCTAAGGCTGTGCAGCCCAGCGGGGGGGGGGGGGAGCCGCTATGCCTCCCCCTCCCGCTGACACCTCAAGTCTGCCTTCCTGACACCTCTGGTCTGCCTTCCGCTGAGACACCTCTGGTCTGCCTTCCGCTGAGACACCTCTGGTCTGCCTTCCGCTGACACCTGTGGTCTGCCTTCCTGACATCTCTGGTCTGCCTTCCGCTGACACCTCTGGTCTGCCTTCCCCTGACCCCAGCCAGACCAGCCCTTGCCTGAGGCTCTTCTGAGACAGGCTGGGGCTTTTCAAAGGGGATTTACTCAGCGAATTGGAGGAAAACAACATGGAAATAGAATAAAAGAAACATTACAACCTCTTGTTGAAAAGTGGTCACAGGCTTGGGCAGATATAGGGTGCAGCTGGGACTTAGGGAGAAGTCCAGGAGCAATCCCCAGGCCCTGAGCACCACCTGCTTTTCAGGGACCTGTCTTTTGAGTGGAGGTCCCAGGATGTGCCCTGTGAGCTGGGGAATAAGAGGGAACTCAGAGCTCAGGGGATTAATGGCTCAAGTGGTAAACCAGAGGATTTCCTGGAGGAGGTGTTGACATCTCTATGTCCAACTTGGCCCATCTGCAGATGGCAGTGGGTGCTACAGCATCTCAGGTGCCTTCTGATCTGTTATGGGCAGGATTTCGTTCTTATGGTGAAGTCCTAACTCTCAGTAACTCAGAATGTGACTATATTTATTTATTTATTTTTTTTATATATATATTTTTTTATCCTCACCGGAGGACATTTTTCCATTTTTTGTTCAGATAGAGAGGGAGAGAGAGAGAGAAAGAAACATCGACGTGAAAGGGACACATAGAGTGGCTGCCACCCACACAACCTAACCAGGGCCGGGGACAAACTGCAACCGAGGTACGGGCCCTTAGCGGGAACCGAACCCGGGTCTCTCTGGACTGCAGACCAACGCTCTAACCGCTGAACCAAACTGGCCAGGGCAGAATGTGACTATATTTAGAAATGGGTCTTTAAGCATGGTTAAGTTAAAATGAGGACAGTAGGGTGGGTCTTAATCCAGCATGACTGGTGTCCTTACGAGAAGAGGAGACACAGACAGACACAGAAGCAAGTCCCCGTGAGGACGGACGCAGGAAGACGGCACCTTCAAGCCAAGCAGAGAGGCCGCAGAGAACCCAGCCTGCGCACACCTTGCCCTCCGGCTTCCAGGCTCCAGAACCGGGAGAATTAAAGGTCCGTTGTGAAAGCAGCCCGGCCTGTGGTTCTGTGTTTGGCAACCTCCGGACCCCACGCACAGGCTTGTCTCTGTTCTTCCAGCACCCTGCCCAGGGCAGCCTCCCGCGTTGTCCCCCACTCTAGTGGCTCCAGCCCAGGTGGACAGGCCTGGATCTGTCTTCCCTGGATTTTCCCTAAGTTTTTTCCTAGGACGCTGGCAATGGAATCCCCCCTTAACCGTGTGGGTCTACTTCTGGGAAGTCTCAGTGACCCACCTCACAAAAGCTTTCAACCTGACCCATGGGGGAGGAGTGGGGCCGTGTTCCCAGTCGGCCAGCCAGGTCCCCTGACACCTTTGCTCACAGGCTGAACCCCCGGAAAGACATCCCGTCCCGAGTGACCCTGTCTGACCATTAGGGCCTCCCCTCCGTCCAGCTCCTGAGGCCTCTGCCATGGCGTGTGGCTAACCACGTTCCCTTTGCTGTCACTGTCCCGTCCCCTCTGCCCACCCCTCACCTACCAAGGCCTGTGTTTCTGCTCTCCTGGCTCTCAGCCAGGCAGGGGCTCTCAGGGTGAGCTCGGCAGACAGGTGGGGCAGCTCCTTCGTCCTGGAGGGAGGGGTCCTGCCAGGCTCAGGAGCAGGGGCTGGCCTGGGTCTGACAGGAGGAGCTGGCAGAGCAGTCCCCAGAAGTGTCCCCTGCCTGCTCTGGAGTCTGCCCCTGCATCCCCCTCCCATGGGCCCTGAACCTCAGCCTGAGCCCTGGGCTGCCAGGAATCAAAGGTTAGAGAGAGAGATTGCCTCTGGAATGGAAGAGGGTGGGAATATTTCTGAAAGTGAAAGTATGGGGTCGGGTGGAGGGCGGGGCCGGGGGTGGGGCCGGAGGGCCAAGGCAGTTGCTGGTTGCTGGCTGCAGCTGGGAAGCCCCAGCTGGTTGTCACTGGCTCTGGCTGCTGCAGAGGCCTCACTGCCTGGGCCAGCTCTGAGGGCCCCACTCGGCAGCCTCTCCTGGTGGCCCTGTCTGTCAGGACCCAGGGTCTACCTACTCAGCAGGTATGTTTCATGCAGGTGGAGCAGGGGGCCACAGAGGTGCTGTGGCCAGTGGGTGGGACCCAAGGGACTAAGGACCATTCTGATTCTACTAGTGGCCTTTGGGGCCGAGGGCCTGGGCTCGGAGTCCAGGCCAGAGAGCCAGCTACATCGCGGTGGACACGCAGAAAGCAGTTAGACAGACATGGACATAAGGATATGCGTGCAGGCCCCGACAGACACACGAACTCGGAGAGAACCACTCACAGACCTTTGAGGCACACTCATTCTGGACAGAGGCACACGCAAGGAGACACTCTTAGGCCAGCACACAGAGGTGCACAGCCCACATACACAGTGTGGACACATCCATACACTCCTACATTACATTACTTATCTGTGTCCCTTGGGCCCCTGCTGTGTACTAGCCCTGGCTGGGGCTGGGTGGGTCCAGTCCACTCCCTGCCCTGAGGGGGTCCTGGTCAAAGGGTAGATGCCCCAGACCCTGTAACTGTCCTTTAGTCATAGGCAAATGTATGCACATGGCCAGACTCAGAGCAGGAGGTGCTGACCGTGCTCTGGGGTTCAGCTTGGAAGTCAAGGAAGGCTTCTTGGAGGAGGAGCCTTTCTGAGCCTTGAAGAGGCTGGCAGCTGGGGAAGGTAGGGGAGAGGTCACTGTTGGCAGAGGGAACAGTCTGTGCAAAGGTGTGGGAGAGTGCTGAGTGCTTCTGAGTGGTTAGAGGTGGTGAGCGAGTGGGGAAGAAGGCAGAGGGGCCTTGAACTTGAACAGCCAGCTAAGGAGCAGCCTGAGGGTTTGATGTTTTGTTGCTGTCAGTGGGGAGTCTTTTTCAATTATTATTTTATTTGTTTTTCTTTAATGATTTTGTAGAAGAGGAAGGGAAAGGAAGAGAGAGAGAGAAACATCGATTGGCCGCCTTCTGCATGCCCCCCACTGGGGATTGGGCCCACAACCTGGGCATGTGCCCTGACTGGGAATTGAACTGATGACTTCTTGGTGCATGGGGCAACGCTCAACCACTGAGACAGAGAGGGAGGGAGGGAGGGAAGGAGAGAGAGAGAGACTAACCAGGGCTGTGGACAACCAAAACTGAGGTATATGCCCTTGTGCCGTTGACTGGAGTCGAACCTGTGACTCTTTGGAACGTGGGCTGACACTCTAACTGCTGAGCCTAACCGGCCAGGGCTCAACGGTGACGGTTTTAAGTGCTTTTTTCTAATAGGCTTTTCTGAGGTATAGGAAAGCTATTTTCTAAGCAGAGGATCATATCTCCTACGAATGACAGTTTCATCAGGTCCCGCCCAATATTTCCACCTCTTATTCATTGTTCTTGCCTTGTGGACTAGAATGTGCCCTGGAATGGTGAGAGCACACCTATCATCTTCCTTATTTTTAGAAGACGTAGCTTGCAAGGGAGGCTTGCAAGGGGGGGGGTTATGTTTTGACAAGACCCCCACCCCCGCCACCACTTGCTCTGAGGAGACAGGATCCAAGGGGTCCAGGAAAGAGTACAGTTAGGACCTGTGATGAGGTGATGGGGGATGACAGGTGGGAGGTAAGAGGGAGACACAGCCCAGGGTGCACGGAGTCACCGGCTTGAAGTGGCTAGTGTGGAGCTTCCAAGGATGAGGTGATGGCTCAGGCCCAGGGGAGGTGGGGTGGGGCGGGCCCTGAGGGATGCCTGGAAAGATGAGGGGGTGGGAGGGCAGGTCTAGGAAAAGGGTGGAGGCTGAGCCTGGGGGAGGAAGGGGAGGAAGCCTAGACCTGACTCCTTGGTCACAGGCAGGGTGGCACCAGATGAGTGCTCCCAATGACCATGTCTTCTGGGTGGCATTCCTGCCCCTCCTGCTGGCTCTGCAGCTGTGTTGGTCTAATCTGGGGAGTGTGCAGCCCGGGGCTTAGTCTGGGCTGGGTTTCCTGGGCCTTGAAGCTCAGCTAGTCCTGAGCCCCAGACACAGGAGCCAGGGCCTCTGGGCACTCAGGGCGATGGGGACCGAGAGCCAGAGAGAGACCCTGTGGATGTGGGGAGGCAAGTCTGGGACATGGGCCAGCGTGGAGTCAGCAGAGAGTCTAGCCCAGCACACCCCACCGTGGAGCCGTCAGGCCAGGCAGGGACGACCCTGACCCTGGAGGTTCACTCCTCCTCCAGGCTGCCTCTGCGGTCACGGGAGGCAGCAGACAGTCAGAGGTTCTCAGGCCAGTAGGAGGGACCCACCACCATGGGGACAGTCCTCAGTGCCCCTGAGCACAGTCCAAGGCTCCTCAGATGGGAGAAGAGGCACTAGCACCCCCGGGTCCTGAAATCCAGGTCAGATTTGGAGACTGAAGAGGGGGATGCTGAGAGAGGGAGCAGCCTGAGCAGAAGCCAGGATGCGGGACCTGCTGGGGAACTGAGAGGCGCCCGGAGGCTGGATGGGTGCAGGTGAGGGAGGCCGAGTGGCGAGTCTGGAGAACATTTGCTCCTGGATCGTGGGCTTCAAATGCCAAGCTGTGGGCTTGGAAGTGGCCTGGGGGCTGTGGGAGCCACAGCAGGGCTTACAGTAGGGGAGTGACCTAGCCGACTTCCTTTGGGAAGGTCAAAAATGGCTTGGTAAGCTGCAGGAACAGGGTCATGGGGCTGAAGGACCAACTGGGGCCCCGATGGACCTTCACTACAGCTCTGGTTTGGGATGAAGGTGGTTGAGCAGCCTGGGTAGGCCCCAAGTAACCTATGAGACTCAGCCACCAACTGCTCCCTTTCCTCCCAGAATCTGCCTCTAGGCTTCAAGTCTGACCCCACTCCTGGCATCTGGGAGCTGCCCCCACCTTGGGTCCCTCTGCCTGGAGAAATGGTTCCTTGGACAGCAACCCTGACTCAGGGACACAGGGGAGTCTGGCCTCTGCTCCCAGGTTTCTGAACAGACCTGGGCTGGTCGAGGCTCCTCGCCCCTGAACTGTGTGGCTTAAGGCAAGACCCTGCCCCTCTCTGAGCCTGTTTCCTCTATGAAATGGGGTGAATGATATCCTGCAACTGTTGTCATAGGGATGTGATGTGTGCCAGGTATAGGCACACTGTAGGCACCTACTAAGTGTGAGCTCTTTGCAACCAAAACAGAGCCCAGCTTGTGCTTTCCCCACATCCCCCTGGTGACAGCCTGGAGCACAGGTGGGCACAGCACAGCTGGAATGGTGGCCTTTATCACCACTCCTGCCCTACAGGATGCTGAGGGGCGCCAGAGACTGGGGAGTGGAGGGGACACCCAGCTCTTGTGACAATGCTCCCTGCCTCGTGTGGGTCAGGGCAATGGCCCTGAGTCCTGGCACCAGGGGAGGACAATGACCTGTGGCCAGGGTGGGGCTGATAAGGCCCCCATCAATCATCTGGGTCTGCCCTCCCTCGGTAGGGCCTCCTTCCAGCTGCCCGGGAGCCTCTGGAGAGGAAGGTGAGCCTCTGCTGGCCCTTGGACAGGTGGGGGTGGGTGGGCGAGGGTCTGGGTTCTGCCCACCCAGGCAAACCATGGCCTGGGGAGAGGCTGTTCTTGCCCCATGCTGCTCAAGGATCAGGTGTGGGCTCCAGGCTGGTGTTTGTCCAGGTGGTGGGCGGGGACTGGGAATGAGCTGGCCCCGGTTTCTCCAAGGCTAAGGTGAAAGCCTGCAGGCCTAAACCCTACACCCACCCCTGCCCCCTGCCGGGACCTCCGCCCAGCAGGCAGAAAAGGTTCTCTCCTCTCTCCCACCCCAGCTTAACCTAAAACCAGAGAGTCAAGCATAGTCATGCTGGGCTGAAAGGGGATGTGGGCAGAACCTGGGGCCCTGGGTGGGGACAACCCAAGCTCTGGGTGGGTCAGCCTCTGAGCTGCACCCCCATAGCCTAGGGACCCCCTCCTCACCTCCTATTTGATTGGGGCTAGAGCCCATGGGAGGGGGTGAGGGTGTGATGTAATAGGTGAGAAACTGCATTGGACCCAGCACCCGGTTAAATATAGACCAATGGCTCCTCTCCCTACTAGCCCCCAGCTGACTGTAAGTCCCCAGTGAGCTGGCCTCCACCAGTACCCTCAAGCCTGACCCCACTTCCTCTAGTTCTAATATACCCTGAGAAGACGGATAAGCTGAGGGCTCTGGGGTTGGGGGTGTGAACACTGTGGGTGGTGGTTGGCATTTCAGGCCTGAGAACCTAAGGTCCAGGAAGTCCTGGGTGTGGCTCCTGGGTCCAGCCCAGGGGACTGTGGGCTGTGGGTTGTGCTGGGCTCCAGAAACTGCTGCCAATTCCCTCTCCAACTCTGAGGGAGGGTCTGGCCTGGCAGAGCCCGTGAGGATGGGTGCCTGAGGGAGACTCTTGGAAGGTGGTGTCAGGGAGGGCTTCCTGGAGGAAGTAGCTGTCTATAGCCAAACACAAAGGCAGCACTGGCCACGAGAGCTGCCTGCTGACGCTCCATTTTCACAGCCCAGGACCACCTCCTGGGGGATGCTTCCCTGACCCAGCCACTGGGCACCCTCCAGGCCTCTGAACCTTCTCTTCACCCCCAGCTCTCCTGTTGCTAATATGCTCAGCCCTAAGGAGCCTGTGGAGCCACAGACCCCAGTGAAGGGCGCTCGGCGGGCAAGCAGCAGGGACAGCACCCACCGTGAGGACCTGAGACGGGGCCTGGGCACCTTCCAGCGGGCCTTCTCCCTGGTGAGCCAGCGGGCCTCCAACTCCTGGCGCAGCTCCCGATCCCTGTTCCGGTCCTTACGGCTCTCCCTGGACGATAGGCCAGCCACTGTCGAGTGCCAGGCCACTGCTGAGCCAGAGCCAGGCCATGGCCCAGAGGTGCCCTCCAGAGTCATTGCCGGTGTCAGCAGGCAGTCATCCACCAGGGTGGAACCCCAGGAACTGGAACCCGAGGCAGGTGAGGGCTTCACAAACAGCACTAAGCATGGGAGTAAACTGAGGCCAGAGCATAGAACAGTGGGACCCAGGTTCGCAACAGTCTCTCCCCCCAGCTCCCTACACCCCTCCCCCTGCACAATTGCATTTTATTTATTTATTTATTTTTTATTTGTTTTTTAATCCTCACCCGAGGACATTTTGTATTTATCTTCAGATAGAGCGGGAGGGAGAGAGGGAGGAAGAGAGAGAAACATCGATGTGAGAGAGACACATCGACTGGTTGCCACCCACACAACACCAACCTGTCTGGGGACAAACTGCAACTGAGGTACATGTCCTTAGTGGGAACCGAACCCAGGACTCTCTGGTCTGCAGGCCGGCACTCAAACTGCTGAGCCAAGCCAGCCAGGACCACAATTGCATTTCAAATTCTTCCAGCATCTCAACAAGGGGAGCGCCCATCGGGCACACAAGAAAAGTGAGACTCAGAGAGATGAAATGACTTGCCTCAAGTCTCACAGCTGGGAAGTGGAGAAGTGGGATTTGAATCCAGATTTGCAAGGCTCCAGAACCCTGGCCTCTTCATAGCCTTCCTGGCTCCTGGCTGAGCTAGAGTGATGGACAAGGCTCAGGCCCTCTTAGGACCCAGGGTCCCGGAGCTTGCATGGGAGCCATGACTGCCTGGAGGGGAGCTCAGGGGGCTGCCCAGGAGAGGACTCACAGGAGCTGGCCCTGAAGGGGGATGTGCAGGGGGAGGCAGAGGGCTCCTAGGAGCAGGGGCTGGCCCAGAGCAGGGAGCATCATAAAGTGTTCAAGCTGGACGCTGGGGCAGGAGCCTGGGTATTACATGACTCACCAGGCTGAGCTCTGACCCCACTGGACCTGCAGTAAAGGACAGCACTGGAGGCCACTAGGTCCAGCTCAGCAGAGCTGTGGTTGGGGGTGGAAACAGGGGTGAAGTTAGGGGCTGATCCACATTCCAGCCAGGCCTGAGGCTTGGGGTTCTGCCTCTTCAAAAGTGATTCCAAGGGATGGTTCTGGGCAGTTGGGGATGCTGCTTATGGAGAAAGCCTTCAGTTGAGATCTGAGGCCAAGCAGCCCAGCTCCGGATGGGTCAGACTAAGGCCCTACAGGCCAACGGGGGGGGGGGGGGGGGGCGGTTGCCTCACTGCCCCTCTCCTTGCCTGTCCTGGCAAAAAGGCAAATCTGTGGCGGATCTCATCACCGAACGGCAGCTGCTGGCCGCCTTCCAACAGCTACAGCACCTGGAAACACAGCTGTTGGCAGAGAAAGCTTCCCAGACCTTCGAGCAGGACCCCACGGACTTCGCACGGCGTGCCATGGATGTGTGCCTGCATTATGACGGGCTGGCGGCGGAGATCCGCACCATAGTGCGCGAAACGCTGGGCCCGGACGGCGTGGACGCGAACGCGCTGGCTGAGCTGGCCCACGCGGTGCGCGCCGAAGAGGAGGCCCACCCGGTGTCCCCTGCCAATGGCGACTTCCTGCGCACGCCACGCCGCTGGCGCCAGCACTGGGAGGATGCAGTAAAGCGGAACGCGAAGGAGCGCGTGCAGCAGGCTGGAGCCAGGGAGGCCCCGGAGGAGGGAGCCGAGAGTGCATCAAGCCTGGCCCGACTTCTGGCGGAGCTTGGCGGCTTGGTTCGCCGCGACCTGCAGAAAGTACGGCTGGAGGTACAGCCTGCGTATGCAGCCGCGGGCTTCCCGGCATGGGAAACCTACTTGCGCGCCTACCACGGCGCGGTTGCCCAGCGCCTCCAGGAGCTCGCGCAGGACGCCCGCGGCTGCGAGCAGCTCTACATCCTGCTGGACTGGGCTGCCAACGTCTATGGCAGGTGAGATCTCAGCCAAGGCGCCACGGAGGGTGGGAGGGGCGGGCCCTGCCCAGCCTGAGGCCTTCGGGAACCCGCTCTGTGGAGCGCCAGGCACCTTTCTTCTCCCTTTCTTCCCTGGGAGAGGGCTGTTGATTGGGCATGGGAATTCCCCGGGACCTTTGACATTCTTTCCTTCCAGTTCTAGGCCGTTTAATCTTCACCCGAGGATATTTTTAGAGAGAGTGTAAGAGAAGGAGGGAGAGAGAAACTGACACTAGAGAAACACATCAATCAGTTGCCTCCCGCTCGGCCCGGGGCTGGGGATTGAACCTGCAACCCATTGGAGTATGAGCCGACACTCTAACCACTGAACCACACTGGCCAGGGTTTTCATAAGGGGCCACCCATGAGCTGGTTCCTGAAACTGGAAAGCCTTGGAGGGGAAGTTCCTACCTAGACAGGGAGCCCAGCTATAGGGACTATGCTAGTCCATAGGGTGCCTTTAAGTGAATTAGGAAAAGGCACACCTCCAGGCAGGACGCAACCAAGGTCACACTGCTTGGGGTGGGTTGGATTTTATCCTCACTCTCTCCTTTGGATGACCACCTTGGAGCAGGCTCAGGTCGGTCCACCTCTGGCTCTGCAAAGTGTGATGGGGTGGATTACCTCTCTCGCTGAGTGCTCCCCAGACCTACAGGCAGGAGAGTGTGTGGGAGGAGGGTGCATAGAGTCCTGGGCACCTTAATTTGCTGTGTGTCCTCAGGTAGATACTGGCCCCTATCTGGGTTTCCTGGTGTGGGCTGGATGGTGGCAGGTTCCTGAGCTGGCAGGTACTGAGGGAGCTCAGAGCTCAGTTTGGGGTGTACCCCGACCATAAGGATAGAGGTCACTTCTGAGGCAGCCTGGCCAAGGTCCATCTGAACAGCCATTCTTATGCATTCTGTGTTCACACAGCTGATTGCTAGTGCCAGGAAACCCAGCAGTAAGAAGCTTGTGGGGTGAGGTGGGTTTGGTACAGAATCCTGGAGTTGTGTGATCAGAGACCCAGGTTTGGGACCCTGAGGTGATGGTGGTGACAGTGTTACCCTTTGAGCCTGGCCTTTGAACCACTGCCTCATCAACCCTTATCCTGCTTTCCAGTCCAAATTTCCTGGGCTCCCCGGACCTGACTCTGTCCACGGAGCCGCTGCCCCCGCTCCTAGCACCGGATGTGTGGGCCAAACTGGAGAGCGATTACACCAGCTTCTTGGAGGTTAGGCTGGGGCGGGGCTAGACTTGAGGGGGTGGGGCCTAAATTGAGCTCCGCGTGCGTTTGCTCCACTGTAGGAAGGCGCGGTGCCTCGGATCCAGGTCGAATGCTACAGGCACCTTGAGCTCTAACTGAGTGGCCCTTGTCTCCGAGGGCGCGCAATGGGGCTCGAGAAGTAGGAGACACAGGATTTCCTTCCTGGGAGGGTCTCACCGCTCCCTCTTCACCCCGCATAGACCAAGATTGCAAGCTACCTCGATAACATCCTGCAGCTAGAACAGAGCCGCTGGGCGGCCGCCGAGGCCCCCGAGGTGCTGCAGGGCCGTTACCACACGCCACTGTCCATCGACATCCACATGGTACGGCCTGGGAGGGGGCTTTGGAGGGCACGGATATTTGGCCCCAGGCAGTGTTTGGTATCCCTCGAAGTGGGGACACCCAAAGCTATAAAACCCAGTGGGGCAGGATGGGGGCCCCGGGTCTCATGGCCAGGTAGGGAACGCCAGGGCATAGCTCCCAGTTTGGCAATTGGCCGTGGGTGTGGGGAGTTGGGAGGGTTGGTGACCCTCACGTTGGGGCCGCCCGAAGGCTGAAGCTGAGACTGTGAGACCGAGGAGGGCGGGCTGGAGACATAAATGGGCCACTAGGTGGGGGACTAAGGGACTTAGGGCCCAGGGCTTGGAGTTGGGCTCAGCGCGTGGCATCGCTCGCAGCTGGTGGCAGAGCACGTGAAGGCGGCGAGGGCCATCTCTGCGGAGCTGGAGGCCACCACCTTGCGGATCTGCGCTCAGGCGCTTGGCCCCTTCGTGTCCAGGTATGGGCACATCTTCGCACAGCGTGGGGTGGGTGCCGTGGCCGGGCCAGGGTGTGGATGGTGGTTATCCCCGAAGGAGGGCCCGTCCTATATGCTCAGAGTTGGAGATCCCAGACACGTGGGAGAGTGGAGCCTCATCCTAAGGCTCGAAGTCTGGGTTGGGACCCGAGGGGAGGGGGTTCCTGAGGGAAGGGAGGACTCAGGGTCATAGAGCGGCTGCGAGGGCTCCCCCAAGGCCTCTGCGTACCCCACCCCCAGGTTTCAAAAGGCCTTTCTGGAGTCGAAGGCGGTGAACGAGCCGAACCTGGGCGCGAACATCAACGCCTGCGAGGAGCTCAGGTGGGTCTCTCCCGCTCCTCCTCAGCGCGGTGCCCAGCACAGCCAGCAGGGGGCGCGCGAGTTAAAAAAACTGGGACGCGGAAGGATTCGGGCGCTGCTGGACCCTGCAAGCGAGACAAATTTGGAACCCGGCATAAGCGGAAATTCCCTGGAGGCCTTCAGGAATGCCCCTGTCCCTGCCGTGGGGTCCTCCCTGGGCCTTCAGGAATGCCCCTGTCCCTGCCGTGGGGTCCTCCCTCGGCCCAGCGGAGCCGAGTTCCTGGAAGGGATGCGGGAATTTCAAGGTTGTGCAGAGACCCAAAAGTTCCAGCCGCCCGTCACTGTTGCCAGCCTAGTCCATCCCTGCCAATGTGGGCTCCGTTTCTTTCCTCCCTTCATCCCAGCCAGCCTTCTTTCTTTTTAGGACACTCCCTTTTCTGGGAAGAGGGCTATGCTGGAGGTCAGGCCTGGGTCCCTCTGCCCCAGAAGCCAGAGGCCCTCTCTGTGGGTTGGCAGTGGCTGCCTATCTTCTGTGCCTTCTACCCCTGGCCAAGCCTCAGAGTCCCCCATTGTGGATCACCAACTACTGCAGGACAGCCATCAACTATGGGCACAGATTCTGAGCCATCCTGGGTTCAGATCACAGCTCTGCCACTTGCTGGCTGTGTGCTTTGAGATAAGTCACTTCCCCTTCTGTGCCTCCTTTCCTTATCTGTTGAATGGAGACCAGAGCACCTGCTCCCCAGGACTCAACGCCACTCATACTGCTCTTCATGAGCACTTGTGATGTGCCAGTGCATTACCCACCTGATGCATTCCATCCCAAGTGTGTGCCCCCATGTACAGATGGGAAAGCAGAGGCTCAGAAAAGGAATGACCCTTGTCCTCGGTCACACAGCCAGTATGTGCTGAACCTGGGACTTAGCCAGGCCTGTCTGAATCCAAACCATGATCATGATGAGAACACTCTCTTGTCCCTAATCCATGTCAGGCTTTCCATTCAGCCCCAGGAAACATTCTCCACCCCTTGCTAAGCAGGCAGCCTTTGGCTCAGCCTGGATGGAATTGTAGCCCACCCTTCTGTGTCCCTGTACTAGGGACTAGGCATAGCCTAGCCTTCAGTTTCCTCAACACTGAAACGAGGACGTTGTCACTTTCAAGGAGGCAGTCATGAGGCTCAAGAAAGGGCCCCTGTGCTGGACTGGGTTGTTCTGCACTACCCAGGAGGGATGGAGGTTTGGCCTAGAGCTGCCACAGGGGAGCTCTACATGCAGTGGGGCAACCACCACCATCTCAATGACCTGCCTTTCCATGATTAGCTCCTGGGGCTTTGGTGTTGTCCCCTCACTTGACTGCTCCCAGGTCTACTACAATATGTGTCCCCAGGCCGTTCACATTATAGTCCAAGTGAATGAAGTTGGTATGGCCCCTAGCCTGCATGACTGCATGCTGGACCTGTCCCCTAGTCTGCTCCCCCTTGCCAAATTTTCACCTGTCCTGGCCCCTCCCCAGGACTAGTCTTCTGGCCAGGTTCTCAGGAGCCTTTGTGGAGCTGGAGAAGCCCCTGGTGGCTGCCACCTGCTTCTTCCAGAAGCAGCTGCTCCAGGGTTGGCAGCAAGATGTGAAGGTGAGTGGCACGGGTTCTTCTCTCCCTACTTTCCATGCCCAGCAGGTGCCCCCTATGCCCTGGAGTCAGGGGCCCAAGCACAACATTTATTTACTCCAGGGGCAGTTTCAGGTGTGGTGTGTTGGGGGTGGGCAGGGGACCCAACAAGTGCCCAGCTGGGCAGGGACAGTCAGTCTCCACTTCTTGGAGATGGTAGGTCCAAGAAGCCAGGCTCCTTACCCAGTAAGACCTGGCCAGAGGCTCAAACCCAAACCCTGGAGCTCAGGGCTCCTGCGAAAGGCCTAGTAACAAAATTTGTGGTAGGAAAAATGTCATTAGTGTACTGTGTAGAGGAGGGGGTCAAATAGACACCCCCCCCCGAGTTTCTACCTGTTGACAGATTGTCCCTAGACCCAAAATACCTGTCAGGAGCCAATGCACTGGGCTGGTGGTGGGGGGGTGGGGAGGGTCTAGTGGATGGGAAGGACACCGTTAAAAGATTCCCACCCCTCATCCTCCTCTCCCTCAGCCGCTCTTCAGGGTCCTGTGCACCAAGGACTGGCTGACAGAGGACCCCCTGCAACCCCTCATGGAAAAGGTGGTAGCCTTTGCCAGCCACCTGGAGCATGTAGAGCCACTTCGTGCGCAGGTATTTGGAAGGGGCATGGGCCTGGTGGGTTGGTGCCCAAAGCCAGGCGGTTGAGTCTGACCCTGATCCCAACTGCCCAGGAGATTTTGCAGGAGGTGCACCGTTATGTGGTCCGCGAGTACCTGGTGCAGGCGCTGAGGCCACGGGAGCGGTTCCGGGGCATGGAGCGCACGACTGCCTCCCAGAGGATGGGCCTGGATGCCCAGACCATTAGTGACGCCTTCCAGGGCTTGGTAGGGACATCATCTGACTGGCCCAGGAGCACTCGCCTCCGCGAGGTTCTGAGGCCAGCGGGCTCTTCACTCATTTCAGCGAAGCGAACGCAGGAAGGGGGGGGGGGCTTTGGCAGAAAGGACCTCCCCACAGTCCACTAGCGGAGGGGGCGTGGCCAGGGCGGCACTTTGCATATATTTGCATACATATTGTGGGATTCAAAGAGTCCAACGCATCTATGGGCGGGGCTGTGGAAGGCCTTTCCTCCACCCGGACCTCCATCCAGCCTTTCCAGCTGAGGCTCATACACCCCTCATCCCGGCTGCTGGTCCCCCACTAGCTGTCTGACTTCAGGGAGGACTTCCCACCAGGACCTCAGTCTGTCCATCTGAGCAGAGGTGGAAGACACTCGGCTGTACCGTGAGGAGGGGTGATGACTGTTGGGCTGGGGCGAGTCTACCATGAGAAGCCCCGCGTCCCCTTCCGCGGGGCCGAGGTGGGGGCTGCGGGGAGGCCCACGGTGCTCTCATGGAGGGGTTGCCGGCAGGGCGGCAAGGGGGCTGGGCTGGGGAGGTGGCCAGCCCCCACGCTCGTGTCTCCCTGCCTCCACAGGGCTCCGAGGCCACGTGGCTGGGCCAAGCGATCCCATGCGTGGCTGACATACTGGGTGAGACTTACAAAGACAACATCCAGCAGCACCTGGAGGCGCTCATCCGGAGCTACCCCGACATCAGGTCAGTACCCACCTGCTGCCCCAGGGTTCCAACGGAGCGTTGTGGGGCCCTGGGGTTGGGGGCTTTGTGCCTCCCAAGGTCCCCGAGGCTGTAGGCGGGCAGGTGAGGAGCCCGAGGGAGTCGCGAGCTCGGAGGGGGGCGCCTGGGAAAGGGGGGTTCCCCTCCCTCGAAATCTATTGCCTGTGGTTTTCATTCAGTCCCGTGGTGGGATGGGGGATCCCCGGAATCTGAGCGGGGTCCTGCCCCTCCAGTGTCTGATAGTAGAGAAACGCCCCCCCCCCCGCGGGGGAGTAGTTGGGGGGAAGCCTGGCCCCACCGCGACAGAACCCTCTTCTGAAGCCCTGCCAGGAGGAAAGAGACTTTGCTGGGGGGGGGGGGTGTTGGGGGAGTGAGTGAGTCATGGAACTCGTGGAAATTCCAGCCAGAATCTCTCCATAACCTTGGAGATTGTGGGAGGGTGGGTGGGCATAGAAAATCGCCTTCCGGACCTCCCCCCCCCCCCCAATTCCATCCCCAGCAAGTACTGTCTCTCTGACTTTGACTCAGAGTGACTGCCATCAGTGCTCTGGGGATCCCCTCCTGGCCCCTTGAGGTTCCCCTGCTTTCGGTGGCCCTGCCCTCTCAGGCTCCTGGGGCGGGGCTTAGCAAGCTGGGTGCTGTGGCTGGAAGGGGTGACTAACCAGGCCTCTGGGCATGCACCGCCCACCTCCGCGGTGCTCTTGGCGGGGGTCCTAACTCCTTTCTCAGGCCCCTGACACTCCTGGCCCGTTGACCAGGCCTACCACGTCGTCACCTCCTCCCTCACTCCACCATTTTCCTGAACCTCTGCATAGACCGTTTCCTCCAGTGGGTGGCCTCTTCTCCTCGCCACCCTGCTGGCACCTTTCCCGGCCCAGCCGGCCCCTCCAGGAACATTGCTCCTCCGGGAATGTGGGTGCACGCATGCTTCCAACCTGAGCCAGAGGTTCCCCTCACCTGGGGTTTTGGGTGTCACTGGAGGTTCTGGGTCTGCACTGAGGGCCCCTTGTCTCTGTAGGCGTGACCACGTGCTGGCCATTCTGGCACTGCGCCATCTGGGCCACCGTCAGAACCAGCACCTCTTGCAGCACGCCCAAGACCTGCTGAGGGCTTCAGCCCAGACAGGGGACTCGGGGACCTCTGGGGGCCATGTGCTCTTTGCGGAAATCGAGGTGTCCACCTCCATGGATGTGCTCGTCACCTGTATCTGGTGCCCGTGGACCTGAGCAGAGCGAACCTCGGGTGGGGACTGCAGTAGGTGGAGGCTCAACCACTGTCCCCCAGGCCCTGAGCCCCAAGCTGGGCCTCCAGGGAGGTGCTCTCAGCCCTGCCCTCAGCCTGAAGCCCAGAGTCATGACATTTTTATCCTCTGCGGAGCACGGCTGCTCGCCAGAAGGGACAGCAATAATAGAGGCATTTCAGGCATCTGTGGGGGGCAGAGGCTCCCTTCCATACTGCCCACCAGGGAAGGCCTCCTTGCCTAACTGCCAGCCACACCCCCAGTCTGAAAGTGAGAAACAGGTTTTTAAAAAAATAAATGTGAATTAAAATGGTGCTTAACCTCCCACCCCCCACCCCGGCCCTGGCCAGTTTGGCTCAACAGTTAGAGCATCAGCCTGCAGACCAGAGAGTCCTGAGTTCGGTTCCCGCTAAGGGCACGTGCCTCAGTTGTAGTTTGTCCCCTGCTCCGGTTGGGGTTGTGTGGATGGCAGCCAGTTGATGTGTCTCTTTCGCGTTGATGTTTCTCTCTCTCTCCCCCTCATCCCCGCCTTCCCTTCCACTCTGTCTAAAGATAAATGCAAAAAAAAAAAGTGTCCTCAGGTGAGGATAAAAAAAAAAAAAAAATGGTGCTCCCCTATGTAGGGGCAGGGGCAAGTGGGCTGGGAGCAGGAGATCTGTGTCCCCCTTTATCAAGAGGCCAGGCTGAAAGGTTCTGTGGTGACTTCATTGAGTGGATGACCCTTTCCAGCCCATTGCACCAATGTGGAGACTGAGGCAGGCCCAGAGCGGGGAAGGCCCACACCTGTGGCTACAGAGCAAAATAGGCTTCGACCCCGGAGTTCCGAGTCCATGGGTCTCGTGTGCCGAGTGAGCCTTGCCCAGCAGGGGTGGGCCCTGCTCTGTCCTGTTCTAAGCAGGTCTGGACCCCTGGGATACAAGAAAACACCAATGTTTGATCTGCAGCTTAAGGTATTCGGGTCAGATGTGAGAGGGACTGCAAGGTTATGGGGCTCTCGCTGGGCAAGTGAAACCCTGGAGCGTGTGTTCTGGAGGTGAGGCTGTGAGGGTATGGCTCCATGCACACCCGCACCCTCCCCACCCCAATCCTTCCCTCACAAAGAGCTGGCATTGAAGTCTGGCTCCATCCTCTGGCCAGGCTGCTGGGAAACCCATTTGCATTGGCAACCTTGGGCTTGGCAGGGACCTGGGCACTGAGGTGAGGGAGTTTACAATGAGACAACGAGACAGGCAGCAACAGAGGCGTCCCCCCAAACAGCCCTCCACAGATGCCCCACTGTCTCTCTGGGTCTGACCCTGACCATGGCACAGCTAGGGAGCAGGTAGCTGCAAGTGGGCCAAGGCTCAAAGAGCCCAAGGAAGTTGTCTCCCAGCTCCTCCGGGGCCCACCTCCCTACGCCATGAACATTCAGTGGGCAGTGCCCAGGCGGTGTGTCCTTCTCCGTTCCCCGAGGCTCGAGCACAGAGCTAGGGCTGAGTCCTGCTGGGGCAAAGTCCTCCCAGGGCAGTGGGAGCAGGTACCAGGGGCTGCCCCCTCCATGGTGCACAGGGACTAGAGGCTGGGGGGTGGTGAGGGAATGTCCAGACCTCCCCCCCGACTGGGGAATCTGGTGGGTGGGGGTGGGTTGGGCAGGAATGAGGAAGAGGAGAGGTTGGAGTTCCCAGGCTCCAGGGTTGGGGTGGGGGCAGGGTGCGAGCTGTTACTGATAGTCCTGGGTGAGTGGCGAGACAGGCAAGCAGAGTGTGGGAGTTGGCCCTGCCTCACACCAGGCCCCAGGTGGCCTGGGATCTTCAGCCACAGGGAGGTGAGGTATCAGCCGGGTACCTCTTTCACTAGGAAGGGCAGGTGATTGACAGATCATCTGACCAAACATGTAATCCCAGTGGCCATCAGTGGCCAGGGTGGGGTGGGGAATAGGAAGCCTTGATCTGGTCTGGTCCTGGTCAGGTTCTCCCAGGGAGTCCCTGCTACTCCTACCCCATGTTTGAGTCCCAGGCCACTTATGGAGCGCGACCCCCCCCCCCCCCGTGTTCCCTGGCCCTGCCTGAGCCCCTTGGCTGGAGTCTGAGGGTCTTGGGACTGGGTTTCCAAGTCAGACTGCAGAGGTGGGGTGGGGTGCAGTCCTGGCTCTGCCACTTTCCAGTCATGAGCCGGTAAGCAAGTTCCTTCACCTCTCTGTGCCTCAGTTTTTCCAGCTGTGAAATAGGGGCGCTGTCTGTGACTCCCAGGCTGGGGAGGGTGAAGTAATGCCAGCCATAAAGCCAGACCCCTGGCCCCCCTGTAAGTCCATGTCCCCAGGGGCCTGGCCAGGCCATGCACGGTCTGCAAGAAAAAACTGGGCTCAGCTGGTGTGGCTCAGCGGATTGAGCCACTTCGCCCCATGAACTGAGAGGTCCCGTCTGACTCCCTGTCAGGGCACAGGCCCGGTTGCGAGCTCCATCCCCAGTAGTGGGGGTACAGGAGACAGCCAATCAATGTTTTTCTCTCACATCTACGATTCTATTTATTCCTTCCTCTCTCTCTAAAAAATAAATCAATAAAAAAATACTTTACAAATTAAAAACCTGGGTGCAAGGGTGGGGGGACTCTGAGTGGCAGCAGAGCCAAGGTGAGTGGGTCAGTGCGTGTGGAGGGTCCCCCAGGGGAGGGAGCAGTGGGATTTAGGCTGAGACCCACGGCTGTCTCCCCGAGTGTTTCTAGGCCCAGAGACAAGAAGTCAGGGTTTCCCTAGCAGGAACCCCCATACCCAGACAGCCATCTGCACCCTGGTGTGTGTTCCTGTGAGCCTGGCGGAGTCAGCTTTTCAAGGCCAAGTCAGGACAAGCAGCTCCTAATGAGGCTGCAGTCGAGACGGGGGGCCCCAGGGCTGGCTGAGAAGGGAACCCCTGGGATGGTTCGGGCCCAGGTCATTCAGCCCCAGGGGGGTAGGGACTGTGCCCATGATCCTGCTACCCTTCCTCTCCACCGGGTCCTATGAGGCCTCTCAAAGAGCTCAGAGTACTTGGTCACCATGGTGTCCAGACCAAGCATGGGGGGAGGGGGACTGGCTCTCAGAGCTGCTTCCGGACTTACTGCCCAGGTTGTCTGGCCAATAAGGAAGTGTGTGTGCATGTGCGTGTTTGTGTGTGTTTCTGGAATGTGCCGGCCCCGTCCACGCCCAGAGGATGGAGGACCTTGCCCAGTGTCTGTGGTCCTTTGATGAAGCAGGCAGCCTGGGAGCATCTTACCCCATCCCCCCAGCTGATTCCTGGTCCTACCTCTGTCTGGCCACCCTCTTCCCTGCATGGCTCCCTCTCTTCCTCTCTGCTTGTCTTCCCCTAATGCCCACGTTTTCTAGGCTCCGTCATGGACGGGCTTTCTCCTCTCTCTGCTCTGAGCCTCCGGGTCTTTGAGACAGGGCCTTCTCTGTGATGTTTTGGGGCTCCAGCCCAGGCCTGTCTGGGTGGGTGGGGGGGCAGTGAGAAGGTGCAGAAGGCCAGCCTGCCCAGGTCCAAGGACTTGATGGATCACTGCCTGCCGGCCCAAGAGCAGTCCTAGGGTGACAGGAGGGGACTTGAGTAACTACCTAGCTCAGCCTGGGGCTTGCACCTTCTGTGGTCACCTCTCCCTGCTGGTCCCCGCCCTTGCTTGAATAGGTCGTGCTGGACAAGCCCACAGGGCCACGCCACAGAGTGTGTTCAGGTCTCAGCTCTGCCCTCCTGCAGCTGGTGACTCAGGGCTCTGTGAACTCATCTGCAGCACTTGGGTGAGCGAGTGCCCAGCAGGCGAGGAGCTGGGGTGAATGAGATCCCAGTACGTGCTGCGAGTGGCGGTCAGTGTCACCTCCGTGCCTGTTCAGCCTCTCCCTCTTCCTTCCTCGCCTGGTGACCCAGGCCCCTTCCTTCCTGGCCCTGGACCTCATGGGACTCCTGTACACCAGGACAGCCCCCTCAGCAGGATTCGGTTCTTGAAGGGCCCCTCACCACTGCCCAGGAGGGGAAAGGAGGCTGCTTGTTCCCAGATCCACCTACTATCCCCCAAACTTCCTTCCTTTGCTACCACAAATTCCCTCTGGGAACCCCAGCAGACCAGAGGGCCCCCACAGGGATCAGTGTCTATCCACCATCTGTGATCAGACCTAGGGGGCAGGGACAGATAACCTGCCTCCCCTGCTCACTGTCCTTCCCCAGCCAGTGCTCGTGGAGTGCTGGACAGTGGGTCTGTCCTGGGCACTATGGAAGACAAAGCAGAGTCCCAGGTCTGGTGGATCAAGTCCCACCAGGTGACAGTGCAGGTCCCCCTTCCTTAGCCTCAAAGTGGGGATGTGCTGGAAGTCTGAGCCCAATGGGTGAGTACCACCAGGGTCACAGCCCAGCCTCCCCAGAATCCCTGTCCTAGTAAAATGCTTGGAGGGCCGCCCTGGCCGGTTTGGCTCAACAGTTAGAGCATCAGTCCGGCCCTGGCAGGTTTGGCTCAGCGGTTAGAGCGTCCGCCTGCAGTCCGGAGAGACTCGGGTTCGGTTCCCGCTAAGGGCATGTACCTCGGTTGCAGTTTGTCCCCGGCCCTGGTTGGTCGTGCGGGTGGCAGCCACTCGATGTGGCCCTTTCACATCGATGTTTCTCTCTCTCTTCCTCTCTCTCCCTCCCACTCTGTCTGTACAAAAAATGGAAAAATGTCCTCGGATGAGGATAAAAAAAAAAAAGGCTTTTTGCCCTGGCCGGTTTGGTTCAGCAGTTGGAGCGTCAGCCTGCGGTACAGAGAGCATCAGTCCGCAGACCAGAGAGACCCAGGTTCGGTTCCCACTAGGTGCACGTGCCTCGGTTGTGGTTTATACCCGGCCCCGGTTGGGGTCCTGTGGGTGGCAGCCACTCGATGTGTCTCTCTCACATTGATGTTTTTCTCTCTCTCTTCCTCCCTCTCTCCGTCCTGCTTTCTCTGAAGATAAATGCAAAAGTGTCCTCAGGTGAGGATAATATATAAACAAGCAGATAAATAAGTAAATAAATAAGTAAATAAATAAATAAAATGCTCGGAGGGCCCAGCCAGTGTGGCTCAGTGGATTGAGCGTTGTCCCATGGACTGAGAGAGGTCCAGGTTTGATTCTCGATCAGGGCACATGCCCAGGTTGCAGGCTCCATCCCTGTAGGGGGCGTGCAGGAGGCAGCTGACAATGTTTCTCTCTCCCTATCCCTTCCTCTCTAAAAAAATCAATAAAAAACATTAAAAATATATATATATATATATACTTAGCCCTGGCCAGTTTGGCTCAGCCATTAGAGCATTGGCCTGCGGTCTCGAGAGACCGGGGTTCGGTTCCCGCTAAGGGCATGTACCTCG